TTTCACCATTAGATATCAAAAGAATGGAGGGAAAGAGTGTGCTAACACATACATTGAACACGCTCGTCTTCAACCATACGCAGGTGCGATTGTATTTCTTGAAACTGAGCAAGTTGTTGATCTCCTAGAGACAAGTTCACATAAACAAAAGCTTTTATGGAAACCTCCCCAATGATGAATCCAGTGTCCACAGTCAAGATGAACGGGGTTTGCAACTTCTCTAGAACATAACTCATGAATAAGAGCTAGACATTTTTAACATGGCACAATCAAATTGTTGAAATTGCTCCATGCTCCACCAAAAGTTATTAACAAGATGGTCAAGTTATAGTGAACACATTCGAAGAACTTGTAAGCATAAAGTGAAACTTTAACAATTTGCACTTGTGATAGATAATTGAAACCAGTAAAGGTTTAGGAAAAACATCATAATTATAGGAGTTGAAGATAGAAAAATCTGGCACCAAAAATCGAGTAGGTAAGTATGAAGGAGAGGAATCATACCTGGTATGATAATAGATCATGAAGGAGGCGGCTTGTATACCATGAATCATAAGATAATTCTTGAAAAGTCAAAATTAAAACATACCTGGTATTATGGATGCTTAAAAGCTCAAATTTAAATCACTATCCCTCCACTCATAGGATAATTCTTTGGAAAGTTGACTTGGAGTTGGAACTTTTCATCATCATAGATAGTTCCCTGAGCTCCATTTACTTCAATCACCCACCTTTGTAAATAACAAATGCAAAAACACCATAACTCACGAACAATATTTCGAAATTTCATGGATTATGTAAGAGTCAAATTTTGGAACATCCAAATTTCTGGGAACCTTAGATTTGAAAGGACATTCCAGATGTAATTTAATCAAATTACTCTTCGATCCGTTTCTGAGAATGTTACGGGGAAACAATGCAATTAGGATAGACAAAATGAAATAACCCCTGTAAAATGACAAAAACAACAGTTCATAGCTAAAATAAAAAATCAAATTGAAGATTATCGGTGTAAATCCAAATGGAGGATTTGCTTTTGCGTTCATACCTCAAAATAATCGAACCTGATTATAACATATTCCTCTTGAAGGCCATCTGGGAAGAAAATCCTTAAAAATAAGATTATAGAAAAATGGAAAGCATAAACTCCAACAAGAGACACAAAACTCAAGAACCCTAACCCACATAAGTGAAGATTTCGGATGGAATCAAAACATAGAAACAATTAATTCGCTAACCCGTAGAAAACTAAGAACCCTAATCTACCAAATGAAGATGGAAAATAAAAATAAGTACCTCGATTGGAACCCTAGCCGTATTCAAAGCATGGATCGCGAGTGAATAGATGTATGGTGATCTTGAATAAGTAATCATCATACATGATATTGAACTGTCACTTTAGGAGGGAATCGATGAGAGTGTGTGGAGCGATTACATGGTGATCCTGAATAAGTAATCATCATACGGGAGCTTGAATCGTCAATTTCTGAATCATTACTTTAGGAGGGAATCAATGAGAGCATGTGGAGCGATGATAGCTTGTCTTGGGAAGACAATCTTCTCAGAGGAGTATGAATGTAGCATTGGTAACTTGTACATCAAGCATAAATGATTGTTTTTAAGACTTTTAAGACTTCATGCATAAAGAAATAGTACCTTATGCATCAAAGGTTGTTTTTAAGATATTTATCAAATCAAATTTATAAGGTAATATAGATTATGTTTTATCAAAAACATAATGATTATAATATATAATTATTGTCTATAATAATTAATATTATATTAATTTTGTATAATTATTACATATATCGTTTAATTTTTTGTATTAAGTTTAGTAGTTTACTTATTTTTTTGTTATTAAATTATATATATTAGAATACTTTAAACTTTTAATACAAAAATTAAAAAACAACATAAACAGAAACATGGTTTTTTTTTTCTTTTAATGTTGATTAACGAAATTTAAATATACTTACGTAATACATATAATAATTTTTTATTAATTATAGAAAATAATTATATATTATAATCATTAAGTTTTAATAAAATATAATAATAATAAATAAATATGTTTATTTATATTAAAACATATTAAAATATGTTAAGGATGGGCCCTTTACGCACGAAGCACCAACCGGTGATAAACCATCAACCGTCGTCACATCGAAGGGGACACAACATCATATTTGAATATTTTTTTTTGCGAAAAAGCCCCCTACACACCAAACGTGTAGTACTAAATAGGGGTCCATTTATTGAAATATGATTTTTATACGTTATTTTTGTCCTTTGAACTTTTGGAGGATTAATTTAGTCAAGATCTCACTTTTATTCCATCATCCAATGTGGGATGCAAACAATAATAAGAAAGTTGACCCTTTTCTTTTTGTAGCCATATTCCGTGTGCCTCTTTCATTCTTTGATCCAATGTGGATGCAAACAATAATCTGAGGAAAAAATTGAGTTCTAACGCTTAAAAGTTCTCACTTTATTATCATGGTTATTGTTTTTATGTAGATATTGTTTTTACAACTATAACTTTTATAAATTTATTGCTATTTTTTATATTAGTTTTTGGTATATAATATTTGCTTATAAAAAAAGTTGGCCAAAAAATAGGTCAACTTAAAAGTTGCACAAACTTTCTTAATTGTGAAATATATCTAACTCCATTTAAATACTCACTTCCTTATTTTGTATTATTTTATTAGTTTTGATTTCAACCATGGTTATATATTTTGTATTATTTGGTCGGTTTCTTCTCTAGTATATTTGTTTTGAAAAATTGTCAAACCGATCTGTCCGGTCTAGTCTACGGTTTGAACATCTTTTTGAAAGGTCTGGACCAAACAGACCACCAAATACATATATAAAAGTTATATTTAGTTGTCTGAGGTGAACGAGAACTAGTTCATCACCAATGCTTAACTCACTTTGATCAGACAAATAAAGCAATATTAATGAAGCGGAATCAATTCACCTCAACGGCTCGCTTCGCTAATATGTGGAGTCTTCGTTCCTCTAGCCGGTAGTCTGTCTATAAGAATAAGAAAGAAAAACCTCATGTAAATACCATGGAATAAGGTAAAAAAGGGTAGCAAGGAACTAAGACCATTCACTGAAATTAGGAAAACCATTAGATTCTTCTTCCTTCTTTATGGTCGTCTCCTGCCCCTCCCCCGCCCGGGGGGGGGGGGGGGGGGTCTTTCCTTCGCCTAGATGATATCATAACTATCTCTCTTTTTGTACCGCTAGGGATGCTTAACGCCACTTTGCCAGGCTGTTCGGACGCTGCTCATGCGAAGAAGTTATTCTCTGATTCCAAAACGTAAAGCCACCATTCTTTAGTGACGAGCTCTAGCGAACAAATCTTATGTCTTTTTCCAAGATAAAAATTTCTTTCTACTAGAACAAGTCTGCTGCGAGCCGAGTGAAAAAAAAATGACTAGAAAAGAGGAAGAGTCTCTAAAACAAGATCTAGGTAAGCAAGCAAGAAGGAGAAGGTTGGCATGTCCTCATTCGGGGGTAATTATCTCCCAGTTTCCCTGATCTAACGGAGAGACTCTATAGAGAATTTCCCAAGGATCCCCTCAACGTCAGGCTATGTGGTAGATTCAACTTTATGGCACAATTAAAAAGGTTCGTCGAAGAAATTATGTTTTTAGTATTTATTTCTCTATTAACCACGTCTATCTAAATTGGCAAAATTCCAAAGATATCAAAAATCAAATTAAAAATTCCAAATCATCCTTCGACTTGCTCAATGTTTGTTCAAAATTCTAACTATTATCAGTGGATTTGTTTAACATTTTTTCAACTTGCCAATATTTTTGGAGTTATAAAGATAGATATATCTTTTATAATTCAATATATTACTTCTTAACAATGTTTATATTGGTAGAAATTTCATTTTGAATATAGATGTTATGTTTTTCTAAGTTTATAGCCCATAAGAAGTCCAAACCGTCTAAACCGATCAGACCAGACCGCCTTTTTGAGGTCCGGTTTGACCAGTTTGATCACTTGCCGCCAAACCGTTCGGTTTGGAAATTTTCCTAAACGACCATTGCGGTTTGGTTTGTGGTTTGGGAGATTAAACGCCCCAATTGGACCGCGAACACTCCTAGTCTTCAGAGATTCAGAGTTAAAATAGGTACAAGCATCAAAAGCGGTATACTTTGAGGTGTATGCGTTAAGCCAACTACGTGATAAGAATTGGGGAAATTACGTGATGAGAATTGGGAAATTACATTAGACCCGTAAATATATGAAAGTTTTGTTGCAGACCCTGATAAATTTAGAAGTTGATCCCCTAAAAATGAATTAGTTGGTTCAAATTAAGTCGGTTCTATTTTAACGTAATTTTTTTAAATTTTTTATTAAAAATAGGAAAAATGATTTATAGTTTAGTTAAAATAGAATGAAATAATATCATATTCTAAACTAAACAATGAAATAATATCATATTTACAAATATAGAGTTAGTTTTAAATACAACCCATCTCATTTGTACAACCAATAAATTGAGATATTTATGAAAATGATAAGAGTTTATTTATTATGATTTGAATATTTATATAAGATGAATATGGTTCATTAATTATGATCAATACTTTATATTATAAAACAATCAAAACTTTTACTAAATCACATATTAATCAAATGAAATGGACGGTTGAGATTGAGTTGTATTGGTTGCAAAAATGTCAAGGGTTGTATAATAACCGACCTCTACGAATATATTACATGATACTTTTACATAAAGAAACTATTCTAAGAAGGAAAAGCAAGTCTTAGAAAGATGAACACATTTCTCGGCAAGTGCAAGTGCGGTCATAGGCAATCGGATCATTTTATGGTCAACAATCAACTATATATTATTTGTATGGTAAACACAATAGACCTTTGAGTTGATATATAGTTTAATAAGAATGTTCATATATTAATGAAACTAAGATCACCAAAAACGCATATATCAGCCTTTCACTGCTCCTGAAAGTATGCGTCTTTCCCTTCTTCTGATTTGGATCCCTTTTCTCATATGGATAGCCACTGCAGCTGATTATCAAACGCACTACTGTGTTCTGAACGCCACCAGCCACACAAGCAACAGCGCTTACTATTCAAATCTCGTCCAAGTTCTCGACTCACTTGCTTCAGATAAGACCGTCACTGATCACCAGTTCTTAAACAAGAGTGCTGGAAACAGCCCTCCAGACATAGCCTATGGCCTTTACCTTTGTCGGGCCGATGTTCTCCCAGACCAGTGTCGCAACTGTTTGCTTAAAGCCCGTGAAGATATTAACAATTCATGCCCGTTCTCAAAAGCGGCAGTGGCGTGGAGTGATGACTGCATGTTACGCTATGCCAACGATTCAATGGTCTCGGTTATGGACTCGGCCACTTTTGTTTCAGAGTGCAACAAGTTAAATATTTCTGATAAGGCATCAGAACAAAGTCAGCTGTGGGAAGCTGGTATGAATTTGATGGGTCTGTTAGCAACCCGGGCTTCAAACGATATAAAAAACAAACTTTTTGCATTTGATGAATTAACCTTTGATAGCAATAGAAGTGTTTATGGATACGTTCAGTGCACACCAGATTTATTGAGTTCTGATTGTGATCGATGCCTTCAAGAAAGTATAAATCGCTTGCCGCAGTATTGTTATGGGAGACAAGGAGCACGAGTTCTGACCCCGAGTTGTAATGTTAGATTCGAGATATATAGGTTCTTAACATTTACAGAAGACCGATCAGACACATCAGGTATGGCATCAAATTCATGAACCTTTTTATTATTTCATCTCGATTGTTATCATGTTGTATTTGATGATACCGAAGGTACTTATCGATCATGAATGTTTGTCAAACATTTTTTACCAGAAGGGGGATATTCGTTTTAAACCCGATGCAAAAAGGAAGAAAACTAAAACATTGTTCTTTTAAGATGCAGGGAAAGATGAAATCTCATCAACTATAATTGCAGCCATTGTTGCTTCAATTGGTGTGCTTGTGGTGATAGCGGGCATTTGCTATTTTCTCATAGTGAAGAAACGGCATCCTGTCACATTCAACGATTTGAAGGATGAAACTGGTATGTAGAAATTGTCACCTCATACAATTTTGAGTAACCTCTCGTTCATCAAAGCATTTCTTGTTTTAAAATACTCTTGATGTATATTTTATCCCTAATCGAAAAAAATATCTACCATTTATTTTACATATATGAACAAAGTAACTCTAGAGCACACGATGCAGGAAGATTGCTCTCCGTACTGTCTAGAATACGGTTCAGGACCAACTGTTGTTGACAAAGATCTGGCAAAGATCCCCCTATAATATTTATAAATTAACACGTTTGTTTTGAAGCGTTAAGGTGTAAGGGTACGTTAGTTTGATTTTCGTGGTTCTAATTTAGGTGAGAACGAAATGATAACAGAGCAATCTCTACAATTCGAATTGGGCACAATCAAAGCAGCTACAAACAATTTCTCTATACATAATAAAATAGGTGAAGGTGGATTTGGTGGAGTATACAAGGTATGCAACTGAGTTCCTTGATCATCTGTTCTTGAATAACATGTTCTAAAATACAACCAAATAATGTCGATTTGTATCTTATTAACTTCTTCATATATGTTATCTATTGATAGGGAGTTCTTCATAATGGGAGTGAAATAGCTGTGAAGAGGCTAGCCAAAGGCTCGGGACAAGGTGAACTGGAGTTCAAGAATGAGGTTGTATTACTAGCCAAGCTTCAACATAGAAATCTTGTCCGACTTTTGGGATTTTGCCTCGAAGCTGAAGAGAAGATCCTCATCTACGAATATGTCCCTAACCATAGTCTTGACTTCTTTCTATTTGGTTAGCCTCAAAACCCTTGACTTACTACATGCAAGATATTTGCTTTATTTCTTTTCAAGATTCATTTTTAATGTCAAATGACCATCCACCATCTACTAGTCAATTCAAGAATCATAGAGCTTTACCTGGTCTACATGCTTAATTCAAACCATATATTGTTTCTTTAAGGAAAATAGAACCCAAAACGATGTGCACACGCTACCAATTGGCGAAAGATCGCCCATATATATATATATATATATATATATATATATATATATATATATATATATATATATATATGACAGTTTAGCTAGAACTCTTTTGAAAAATTTGCATTGAGCATCGAAAGTCCAAAGTCTTCTAAGGCACATAATATTGACTCGACTTATAGATAATATATATGGTGATGAAACAGTCATCCTAAAGAAGTTGACAGAACATTGACTCGAATTAGAAATATAATATGTCCGTTATCTTTAATTTTTCTTTTGGCGTGGCAGAAGAAGTCTGGATAAATTGCTCCATTATGCATGTAAAATGAATGAATCTGTTAAAAGTAGTGGTGCTCCACAATAAAGTAAAGCAAGTAAGCACCTACTAACCCACTATCGATCATACGCTCCTACTTTAGCTTTTTTGAGTACTCCAGCTACTTCATTTCTGTCTTTTAGAAGGAAGCTTCCTATAAGCTAATTAATTATATCGTTGCTTAATAGTAGTATATTTATAATTAAGCCATCTGTTTTGATTAATACATAGATCCTTCGAAACAAGCGCAATTGGATTGGCCAACACGTTACCGCATAATCGGAGGAATTGCTAGAGGGATGTTGTACCTACACGAGGATTCTAGATTAAGAATCATCCATCGGGATCTCAAAACTAGTAATATACTATTAGACGAAGACATGAATCCAAAAATTTCAGATTTTGGCATGGCAAGAATATTTTTTGCAAATCAAACACAAGCAATGACAAATAGAATTGTTGGAACTTAGTAAGTTGTCTAACTCTTACTTTACTAAACAAAACTGTTTGTTTATTTACTAATCCTTGATGTTACACTAAGCTTTCGACTTTGTAATTTTTCTTGCTAGTGGATACATGTCGCCAGAGTACGCGATGCATGGCAGCTTCTCCGTGAAGTCTGATATATTCAGTTTAGGAGTATTGGTTCTTGAGATCATTAGTGGAAAGAGAAACACAGGTCTCTTTCAATCTGGTTCTGGTGACCTTCTAGGCCATGTGAGTAAACCCATTAACAGTCAAATGCTAAACATGATGATATCTAGTTTGTTAACCTACATTACAATATTCTGTTTCAGGCTTGGCATAAATGGAAGAAGGGAGAGCCACTTGAGATACTGGATCCAAATATGGTGGACTCTTCCTCAAACAATGAAGTGTTACATTGCATCAATATTGCCTTATTGTGTGTTCAAGAAGATGCTGAATTAAGACCTTCAATGGCATCTGTAGTCATAATGCTCAACAATTACTCGGTTGCTTTACCATTGCCTCAAAATCCTCCATTTGTATCTAAGAATAGAGTTAGACGCACGTCAAAAATGATGGAATCAGCTGATAATATATGCACTGAAATTTGGCCTATTGAAGCTCCACTTATTACTGAGGTACATCCTCGATAAACATAGCCCTAATTATACTCTGATCATTAGTTTTTTTCTTTCTGATTTATTGTTTTTTCTTTTGAAAAAGGGGATCATTTTCCCCACGTGAATTTTATTTCATGACGATTAGGTTACCATGTTGTATCATATCTTTGTAACTTCATTATTTCTTATTTGTGTATATGTTTGATGTTCACTACATAATCTAAGACTTTTAGCGAGGGACGGATCTAGCGATAGCAGATTCGTCGGTAATAGTGATATCCATCGTAATACGTAGGAAAGTCTTGGTCGGGTCATAGACGGCCTACAGACCGATCTCCGAGAAACGTTCATTGACTAAATTTTGAGATGTATCGAGGGATTTCAAACCTGTTTCATTGGATCGCCAACAAAAACCACACAAACGAATATTTTGTTCATAATGCGTTGGTAATATTTGTAGTTTTAGAAAAAAAAATCGAAATTATTCGTATTTTCCTGTATAAATACCCATTACATGTATATAATTCATTAAATAGGCAAATTCAGTTTTATAAAATTCATCTCTCGCAGATGTGTTTAGAAATTTTTTCAAACGGTGGCACCATTATTTGCTTATAAGAAACAAATATAGGGAAAAAAATTAAACGGTGGTACCATTTGACTATAAGAAACAAATGTAAGGAAAAAAATTAACGGTGGTATCATTTGACTATAAGAAACAAATGTAAGGAAAAAAATTAAATATTTGCACCATTTGACTAAGAAAATGACATTTACAAGATTCAAACTCGCACCATTCTAGGTGGAATAAAAGTCTTGCAAACCAACTTTACGAAAAAAAAAATTCACATTATGGTTTCAAAATACGTACGGTATCACACAAGAAATTAATATGGGTGACACTACTGTCGGTGTGTCCATTCTTTGTACAGTTGTTGTTTTTGTCGGTTTTATGAAATTTTTCCTTTAAAAAAAGTTCTATTTAAATAATTCGATGGAAAAATACATTATAATATAATCATTATGTAAAGGCATAAGCAAAACTTATTTTATTATTATTATTATTCTAATCGGTGAATTATCTAAAGGGGTGCCTCTACCGATGCCTTAACTATCAAATGACAGTTATATAAGGCTAGTATAGATATGTACAAAAATGTCTATGTATTGTTGTTGCTTCGTATTATAAGGAATACCTTTATGGTGTGAATTCTATGTATTTTGTTATTGCTTATTCAACAAACTGGTATCAGAACAAGGAATCATTACAACAAACAGCAACATGTTGCAACCTCAGTTACCCAAATTGAATGGCAAAAATTATTATCATTGGAGCATCCAAATGAAGGTGCTATATGAATCTCAAGATCTCTGGAGCATTGTAGAAAATGGAATCAATGAACCTCAAGATCCAACTGTTTTAACAACACAACAAATGAATGAATTAAGGGAAGCAAAGAAAGAGGATAGGAAGGCGTTATTCTTCATCTATCAAGCGATATACAAATTGATATTTGAAAGGATTTCTTCCTCATCAACTTCAAAAATAGCATGGGATATGCTGCATAGAACATATCAAGGAGACAAAGTTATGGTTGTAAGGTTACAGACCTTAATATGTGAATTTGACAACCTACGCATGAAATATTCAAAGACGTTTGAGGAGTATTACAATCGTGTGATTCTACTTCTAAATTAGTTAGGATTAAATGGGAAAACGTCGGTGGCAAAAGAGTTGTTGAGAAGATCTTAAGAAGTTTAACAAGAAAGTTTGAGTATGTAGTTGTTGCGATCGAAGAATCAAAGGACTTATCTATTTTTTCTCTTGAAAACCTTCTTGGGACATTACAATCAGAAGTTACTAATCAGACAGTTTGATTCTTCGCCTTCAGAAAAAGCCTTTAGAATACACTCAACGAGTCACTTGAATTCTAGTGAAAGAGCAAACAATCTAACCAGTCAAAAGGACGAACAAGGTGAGACTTCTTTCAAGGGCGTAGTAAACCACACTTACAAACTCAATGTCGTTATTGTCAAAAGTTCGAACATTCATTCAAAGTATGTAGAAAGAGAATTGCGGATAGAACAGAAGTTCAAGCCTTATGCACCAAGAAGAGGATAAGCAAGAGGAAACGATGTTTATGATGTTTAGCGTTCAAGAAAATACGCAAGAAGACATGGTTTATTGACAGTGGTTGTAGCAACCACATGATAGGAAACAAGAAGTTATTAACTACTTTAGAGGATTCCGTGAAAAAAGGAGTACGTACCGGAGATGATAAAATGCTAAGCATTCAAGGAAAGGAGAGATACTTGGGAATACGAAGATTGGAGACAAAAATATACCAAGTATACTTTGTTCTAAGTTAACCCTAGTCGAGTGGAATCCTTGTGATAATTGTGTGATAATCACATGATTATCACACCCATATCATACCCTAATCACACCAAATCGTGTTGATATAAGCGATAATGTGATAATTGTGTGATAATCACATGATTATCACACCCAAATCACACCAAATCGTGTTGATATAAGCGATAATGTGATAATTGTGTGATAATCACATGATTACCACACCTAGTCTAATCATAACCTATCGAAATCATCCGAAATTGTTGTGATAATGTCTAACATAACCCATTGAAACCATGATCAAGTCGAGTGACATTGATATCATATGATTATTACAACTAATCGATTAAAAACATGTTCAAAACGAGTAATTGTGAAAGATACCTTGAATAAACTTTTTCTTGTTGTTCGATTGTTGCATGCAATAGTTTCTCATTGATCGATTAGGGTTCGTGTGTTCTTGGTCGATCACTGTTGTTTTGCGATTTGATGTTACGACTTCTAAGTATCCTTGAATTCTTAACCGTTTATTAGATAATGATAATCATGATCGTGTAAACGTGTTAAAAGATTTTATGATGTCATTTCCATTATTACCCTTTTAATTTTAATATCTTTTGAATCTTTTTAAATTTCAATTTTAATTTTATAAATCTTTTAATTTTATTTTTTTATCACAATATAAGGTTATTGGGTTTGTTCTCGCATTCTCGTAAATCATAGGGGTTCTTGTTTGAACTCTTCCTTATATATATATATATATATATATATATATATATATAGGGGAGCGATCAAATGAAAACCACTCAATTTGTAAAAACCGTAAATACCTCATTCAACCAATCATAATTTTTCATTGTGTTCATGTTTTTGTAATTATAAAAGGTTGATTAATCATTTTTATTGTTGAGGGTGTTAATCATGGATATTATCATCTTCATTATTTTAATTTTAGAGAAATACATGAAACGGTTTCATTAAAATTTCATTAAGTAGCATATGAAACAATTTCATGAGCATATATGAAATAAATTCATCAAAAAAAATATTATATGAAACAATTTCACAAGATTAAACAATTTCATGAAAAAATTTCATAAGAATAAACAATGAAAACGACGGATGAGGGTGGTTTGCACGGTTTTTACAAATTAGAGTGTTTTTCATTTGATCGCTCCTCTCTCTCTCTCTCTCTCTATATATATATATATATATATATATATATATATATATATATACTAGTTGTGTACCCGCGCAATGCTGCGGGAGCCGTGAATTTTAACGATTTTGAAGTTTTACTGGTTTTATTATAGAAGATTTAACGCTGATATAAATTACACTTGGTCTTTACATATTAATACAATTTGAATAAATAAGAATTATGATTCCAATTACAATCTATCGATGAAAAAAATTGTATGACAATTTAAAATCCAATATATTTAAAATCCAACATATTTATAACGACTCCACAAATGTGTTCGATTTACACCAAAAGCAAAGAAACAAGAGATCGAGAGCGAGACCGAGAGTTCTAGAGCAATTGAATGGAAGATGAATGAGAGAACTTTTAATTGCTCTAGAACTTTTAATAACTCATGGTAAATATCAGTTTGGGGGAAAAGACAGAGGTATGAGAGGGTAAAAACATGAGTGAAAGGTATCAAAATTATCTTGGGAACATGAAAAGAAAAAGTAATAATGTACATGGGTAACTTGTATTATATGTTATTTTAATTGTATATTAAAAGATTTTAAGATTGAATGCATAAAGTAGTAGTACTTAATGTATTATGAGTTGTTTTTAAGACTTTGTGCATAAATGCATAAAATTTTGGCTTAAAATATATGTTGCTTTAGATATATAATCTCACATTACAACCACTATCCATCAAACATAATCTTTTATATTAAATCTAAACATTGTAAACTTAGCAGATGATAATTTCTTGAAACCAAAAAAAGACAGCATCATCCCCAGAAATGAAAATGAAAATGAAAAATTATAAAGGCAATTCCAACATTATATTGATGGTAATCGACTATGTTTCCAAATATCTCCACCCTCATTCTAAAAAATTCATCAAAGCATGCAAAACTGAACTATTTTCAACTTCCTTTTCGAATAATTCAAAATCAAACATGTTTTCATTCATCATCTGCGCCAAAAGCTGCCGCATTCAGAGCATTCAACCTCTCAATAAGCTTCTGCTTTTTCTTATCATATGTTAGTTTCTTCAGGTTGAACCTAAACCCACAAAAACAACGTCAACACACATAATCATCTCTCTGTTTTTATAAACATAATCTTCTGCAAAATTATCTTTTTACCATCAAAAGGACAGATTTAAAAAAATGAGGTTACCTCTTGTGCTCCTTTGGAGGCTGTTTCTCCAACTTCTTTGGGGTTAGATCAACACGAATGGCTGAATGCACCTACTTGTACAGCTCTTCAATGTTTTCCGGGTCAACTCCAGCTTTAATGTATTCAGAGAAGTGAGAATGATACTTTTCCGGCTCATCTTCCATCAAAGTCTTTATATAAACCAACTATTTCCAAATGATATGTTCTATTTTCAAAGATGCACTACATCTCTTGTTAAACAACAGACTCACCCTCATGTTGGAAGCAACATGCCCGCCATAAATGTACTTGCGGTGGACATCAGCATCAAGTTGCTTACCATCCTTGCTGAATCCAGCAAACCTCTTTTCAAGAGGATGAAAGGATCACATACCTTCAAAAGGGCAGGAGGTCCTTCTCTCAAAATTGTCTGAACACAATCGGCTATCCCTTTATACTGGTTTGTTGATCCCTGAATCATCAGCCTAGTTTTTATTACATCGAGGGAAGTCGTT